CGGTAGGTTTACACGGAAACCTGAATGGATCGCGTATCGTACTGAGTCCAAACTGACTCTAAACTGATACGATGATTAGATCACACGAACCAGTCTAATTAAGAACACAATTTGGACTGACATGTTTTTGGTGAATTCCTTTTCAAGACTTTATTATCTAGTTTAAATGAAATAACTTCACTAGGCTCAAACAGAGAGGTGAATGAATTATGTGCTTTGTAGGGAGAACTCCAAATTGGTATCCTGTTTGGATTATACAACCGAAATTCGCTATTTTACATAATGGAAAAGCGAGTTTATCTTCCCTTGTCCAGGGGAGTGTGAGAGCTTACCTATGTTTACCTCACTATGATTGCCTATCAATTGCCTATCNTAAGACAGTTATCTCAATATAATAACAACAATCCGAGCTGGCTCACATAGGGTGAGCGTGGAGCTGTGTCAAGCTTGATCTACGCTCATCTGGTAAAGACGAGACACATGGTTGACATGCGTTCGGCATTCACAGTCACTTATCGCGTCTCTTCACACCCCTCGAGAGCAACACGGTTTCGGGCATCACCGACCCCCGAGGCGATTAGCATCAGACTCACGAAGACTGAGCTGTGTGCACAACAAAGAACTGATCTAAGATCTACAGTTCTCCTGGTAATTTGAAGATAAGATCGCTTTTCACAACCCATTTTAATGCATATTCATTACGGTAATCTGAGTTCATCACGATGATAAATACCATGATGGAAGTCTGTGGGGTGCAGTGCTAAACCCCAGCTCTGTTGAAAGGGTACGACAGATGTATTCTTTTAGTTTCATAAAAGAAAGACGAGATTAAACTTGTGCGAACCGATTCAGTTCTCCTGATGTCTAGCCTCAATCTAACTTTCACTCTTTTCTTGCCTCCACATGCAGCCACCAGTTCAAACTTGGTACAAGGTTAACAATATTCAATCCGTTCCCATACCCGCATTGGGTCCGGTTACTGATTCGCAACTGGCCGTACGACGCCAACAGGCCCGAATGAAATCGAAACCGAAAACAGTGAATATTCGACCACCGAAACCTGATCCGTTGCAAACATCTGGTTCTCCGGTCACATGCACGAGTTCATTTGTACTAAAACAGACCAAATGGCCCAGTGATATGTCTATTTTCCCGAATCCCATTACCAGATCGAGTACTATACACTCAACAGACTACAGAGCCTCACCTTCAAATGCACCTTTGAATAGTATGATAAACGCGACTAATGGTCCCTCAGACAATGGATGCTTTTTTACCTCGGCCACCTTCACCCTATCACACCCGATTCGATCAAAACCTTTCTATTCACCCGGTCACGGAAGTCTCCAGTCTCGGGTGGTTGTTTAGAGGAGGAATATGAAACTCCCGGCATGACAGCAATGAGACTCATTTTCCTCTCTGTGTATAGAATCATAGATCATTCATCTTTTCTCCCTGTTCCTTTCGTGAATGTTGTCGTCATGTGATGCAATTCCCTGTCACATCCGCCAGAATGCCCACAATTCCTTTCGTTGCTGAACAGTGATGATGATGTTGTATTTGTGCTCCTTGTCTGCTTGACTTTATTCTTATCATGTTTCACATATTGATGATGTAATCCTGTCCCATTTTGTTTGCAACCTCAATCCCGATTTGTCACTCTTCGAATAGGGCCTCAGCCGATCGCGAATAGGTTGATCCCATTATGTGCTTTGTGCGCATTGATACACGGTGACAGCTAAGGAGTATCTATTGTGCGAAAGATGCGCAGCTTCTCCTAGATGACTTCTTTTTTCACATTGTGAACACATTTCAAATTTTGTGGCCAAATGTTTTGTCTTTCAAATTCCCTCGTCCTTTTACCCCCTCCCCACCCTCACATCAGTTGGAAACCCGTTTCCTGTCCTTTTATGTGATATGTGACAAATATGAGTATTGATAATATGATTATTACTACGAAACTCGTGCGAGGAGATGTATTCGATTCTTTTTCGCTTAATTTCTGGTTTTGAGCGTCGTGTTTCTTTAAATGATTGCACTAAGTGAAACTGGAGTACAACTGAAATGTGCATACTTTCACTTTCACTCTACTAACTCCTGCTGGAGGATAAGTAGGTTCCATCAGCATCGTGATTCATTGATGCCCAGGCGCGGCGGATTGAGGCCAGCTCAGTGCAGATTTTGATTCAAATTTGTCAATCTATGCCGTTTCCCGTTGTATACGAAGAGGCCCAGGAGCTATCCTCTTTCTCAGTGATTTCGATCGGAGTTTTGAGCTGTTCATAAAGCTGACAACACCAACGAGAACATAGTTGAGGATTGACTGTTTCGTTTTGACGAGCTCCGTCACGAGTCGCGGGAAATCATGGTCGATACTTTTCAAATGGAATTGACGAAGGAGAACGGGAAATCTATCAGTGCGTCCGCATTGTCTCGTTACTACTATTATTGGAAGCTGTGTCACACCAATTCACATTGCGAGTTTGACTTAAGCCGAGTAATACATACCTCCATTTTTCGTCGGTTTGCCTAGACCAGTCTTTGTATCGGTGGCTCACTACGGGAGAGAGAGGTCCGATAAACACTAACATTGATGCCAAGGATGATTTCAACTTGCGTCAGAAATGCGTGCTGTAGATACAGCAAAGCTCTCTTGACGTTGATTTGTAGCACGGTATCATCCTCCGTTTGACCGTTCGGGGTCAAGGTCGCACCTAGTTATCAGAAAGAAGGCACGCATTAGGTGGAGTGGCCATCGATTAACAACTACAGAGCTTTCTTTAGTTTATAGACTAACATTGCTAGGTTTTAGTCAAGTTTCGATCTCTAACCCGATGAAATTATCTAAAAAATGATTTTGCTTTGGAATGACGAGGATATTAAGTCAATCTCTTAGGACGAGTTTGAGTTTGTCTCATTTTTTAATAGATCACTGAAAGAGGGCAGTCCTGTCTGATTCCGGTATTCAGCGCAACTGTTGAAGATTCTTTGCTGCAAATGAAGATCTTTGCACTGGTTGTTTAGTAATATCGTCTCAGATGGTATCCGTCAGCAGCCTTTATTACGGTCCAGATAAACTTACGATTGANGATTGAGCCAGTTAAAAGTTATTGCAACTTATCGGGGTGCTTCAGTATTCCATCCAGAGTGAACACCTAATCCATGCTGCCTGTACCACAGCGAAATCCCTTTAATTCGAACGAATGCTGCGATTTCTTGCACTTGTGTAGCAGAAAACAGATGATTGTTGCAGCAACGCCGAACAAGCTGATCAGTTGCTACCTCGCACACACAGGTTCGTCATCTTTCATACACGTGTGGCACCTCGAAAAAGATATTGACTAGGAACATGTGTATGTTTTGCTCATGCTGTTGAGTGATCGATGGCCCGACCGGCTATTGAACAGGCCGCTTGTTCCAGACATTGGTCCGTGTGGTGCGAAAGACACCATCTAACTAGAAGTACAATAATTCGAATTTGTACGGTCAATGTATGAGTTATATATAACAAAATGTATCTAGATTGAGACCATTTGATTTAAATGCATTACTTTTCCCCAAACAAGATTTTGCTGCAAGCACGCATGAAACCATTTGAAATAGTTTTGCCTTTACGATCGTTTCCGTTGCGTGTTTTCTCATTATCTTAAAGAGCATAATCACTGTCCGAGAAACAGGCAGTTTGCCTAAACTAATCAAATCCATCACACGGGCATTATCGATCAGGAGTTCAAAACCAATTGAATTTACTTTCAGGGGGATGTTTATCGTCCTGTATGAGTTTCTCATGAATTATATTGGTGTACCTAATACTATATAATGTATGAAATCTGGTTCACAACCTAGCAGAATNTAAAGCAGATAGTCCAATGGAACCTATTCGAAGAGAAACTCTTATTTATTAGCGACATATGCCTGGAAAGATTGGTTAGCATGATGAATAAATGACATTGCAAAAAGTGAAATGTGTTAAACTAGTAGAGGACGCTATGCATTCCTTTGCATTTCAAAGACCGTAAATGCATTGTCATGGAAACCATTCACAAAGCTTCCCCTTTCGTGCACATCCGAGCCACTCGTCTGTTCTCAGCTAGAGAACAAAGTTCAGCACCTTGCCATCTCATTCCAATCACATTTGTGCTTGCTTGTTTTTGTGGAACGATGTGAAGAAATCTTACGCTGGAAATATGATCCGAACCGATGCGTGGGTAACTCCTCGTTTGGCTGAACACTGAGGTGATCAACTCGTTCAACAGTATCGTATTTTTACACGAGAGGTGAGCACGCACACGAGAAAGCTCAGTGAGATATTCCGTGTGCATTACATGATTGTGATTGGTCAATGGGGACCTAGCAGAATGGGGCAAAGCAGATAGTCCAATGGAACCTATTCGAAGAGAAACTCTTATTTATTAGCGACATATGCCTGGAAAGATTGGTTAGCATGATGAATAAATGACATTGCAAAAAGTGAAATGTGTTAAACTAGTAGAGGACGCTATGCATTCCTTTGCATTTCAAAGACCGTAAATGCATTGTCATGGAAACCATTCACAAAGCTTCCCCTTTCGTGCACATCCGAGCCACTCGTCTGTTCTCAGCTAGAGAACAAAGTTCAGCACCTTGCCATCTCATTCCAATCACATTTGTGCTTGCTTGTTTTTGTGGAACGATGTGAAGAAATCTTACGCTGGAAATATGATCCGAACCGATGCGTGGGTAACTCCTCGTTTGGCTGAACACTGAGGTGATCAACTCGTTCAACAGTATCGTATTTTTACACGAGAGGTGAGCACGCACACGAGAAAGCTCAGTGAGATATTCCGTGTGCATTACATGATTGTGATTGGTCAATGGGGAGAGAGTTACTAGTGTTAACTAGTCGCAGTAAAAGTGGTGGTCACTGCTACCAAACATTTCAATCGAATTTGGTTTGTGAATGTGTTTCAGCTCTCTTGGTTCATCGTACACGCCAGTATTCCGGTTAATTGCGACAATCAGACAAGCCACTAACTGGTTGATCACGTGAACCCATTGTCGTTACCACCAAGTATTAATTAATCGGGAGTGATTATTCTACGTCATAACTTTGCTCGTTTATGGCCCAGATCACTTTCATTTGGGGCATTTTGAGTGTTTGTAGTGTTTAGACTTACCAAGAAAATGAATGGTACCTCAACTGTCGCCTACGTTTCCCTGATAATAATCCGTGCTTTATATTTTTAGGCCCAGTAACGTATGATAAACATGGATAAGTTGCTTTCGGGACGCCAGTTTTTAAATTCACTTTTACAGATAGTGTCAGCTGCATGCGGCACAGTAGAGGTAAAGGGTTTATACACTGGAATGAACACCGACTGTGACACATAGACACACAAAGGGGACACCGGCTTATCAAGTGTGATTAATGCACATCCGAAATCGACTAGATAACAGATGAAAACCAATTCAGCTAACATTATCGTTTGTTTAGTCCCACAACTCAATTTCAGGGCCATTCGCCAGCAATATATAAGATAATGATCATTAGCTTATTCAAACCTATTTTGTGTGCAGAACTGACTGTCAGTAAGACATTGACACGCTGCAGTAATCGAAATACACCGAACTCAGGTCGGTTCCAAGTGGTGTTCTGGGTCAGTTGCCACCGGTTATAACCATTTCCTATCCAAAAAGGGTTTTTATTTGAAGAGGGTGTAACTTCCAAATTCTGCTGAGAACTACGCACCGTAAATAATGCTTTGACCGTCGTACGCCACCAACTTGGAAAGAAGGGTTCCTTACAATAGCAATTGGACTGCTTACTCGTTGTAACGTTAGATAATTAACTTCTTATCAAGTGAGTTTATAGATTTTCAGCTTCGAATGTATCTGTTTCGACTTCAAGTGAATCCCACCAGTAGGATTATGGCGGGAACCCCATAAGTTAATTGGTACTTCGGTCGTCATATACGATCGCTTGTTTCGGGTCTGTGCAAACCCCGTTGAGTTGGAGTGGACTGATTTATCCGTGGAAAAACAAAATACTTTTTGAGTGACTTAACTAGCGAATTTTAAGGTTTCATTGAGGTGAATTTTCCCGATTTATCCGCCTTCACTCGGGAACGGTATGTCGCTGACCGTTTCATACCGGATTGAATCAAATCGGTGGTAACGGATCGTGGTTGGCCTGTTAAGGAAACGAATCACATCCGTGTGGATCGATAAATCGGCCACCAAGTTCAGATTTGAATGTTAGCAAGTTTCATCAATAGCCTAGTGTGTAAAATCCCTTGAGGCTCAAATCACGCACAGCTTCTTTTTCTTTTCTGTTTGCTCTTTTTCAATCAAAGGGCTGGCATACAATACATAAATGGGGTAAGTCAGTC